AAAAGTTTTCTGATTAGTAAAAAATTGCAAATTCTAGAAATCTGTGAATTTCTCAAGATATAGTGACCTGCACCTTTTTAAAAATGGCTATAATTATTTAATTATTACTTAATTGAGACAAAAAATAATATAATACAATGTGATGATCACGATGAATCGATTAGCTGACGATAACTATTAAAAATCATTATAATCTAGTAACAAAAAATAATCTTGTAATTACAAGAATGACAGTGCAGATTCGTAAATTATTTTGATATAATTACGTGATTGATAAAAAAATTAATTTTTTTATACATTTTACACTACTTTTAAAAGCTCGAATAGTTTAACTTTCTATAAATGAGAGTAAATTTAACACATGAATCAATTCTCTTATAACATATTCTTTGAATTACCGTGAATCTCTCAACTTTTTTTTTGCAAATTTGTTGGCCGATTTAGATATGATTGGTTGGTAATTATGTATAACAATGTTGAAATCATCTACGAATTTTAACAGTCATTCCTGTTATATTATTAATTTACTTGATTATTACCTTAAAATTATATTATTAATAAATTACAGAATTGAGTATTGGATGATTTAAAGTTACTCATTATATCAATAACTTGGTTTTCTCTTGTTTAAGCACATCATATAATTCTTTCTATAAACAATACTAACAAAAACATCAAGTGCAGACTACAAGTTCAAAAAGTTGATTAATTGCATAATGGCATTTTCAGGAATTTTCTTAATGATTTACAACTGTTTTCAAAAAAATGTACCATTATATCATGAGAAATCTACACATTTTTCTTTGGTTCTATTGATTTATCTTATTTATAGAATCAGGAAAATTAGAAAATTGTGTGATTTTTACAAAAATAATAGTATTCCTTTTTTGTAAATAGTTATAAAATAAATAAAGAACACTCTTTAATACATTACCAAAAAAAATTGAATTAGTCTGTTTATTAAATTACTAATAAGATTCTTTATAGAATTTGTTGAATTTATTGAAAACACTCACAATTAATAATAGCAATGTGAATTATAATAACTATGATGTTTTTGAGAATTTCTTTTAATAATTCAAAAAAATTTCTTTAATGGCTTAACAGAGAATCTGATTGATCTTTTAATAGAAACTAACTAATTAGATTCTTTATTAAATTTATTAAGAAGTATCATTTTTGAAAGTCCTTCAAATAATATAAAAAAAAAGTTGTAATTAAATAAGTATGTGTGTATATATGTCCAGTAATATATGTATATATATATGGTAACAAGTTAGTTACAAAACCTGATCAATCAAATCTTTTTATAAAAAAATAATAATAAATAAATAAAATGAGTAAAAAAAGCCTTGAATTTTTAAAGAATCATCTGATAATACATCAAGTTTCATATGTTATTTTAGTATATATAAATTAATAAATAAATAAAAAAAATACTATTTACTATCTTTAAAAAAAAATAATCAACTAAAACTATAATATTCTTTTGTTTTCTTTTTTATTTATTAATTAAATAATTAATAATTGAGAGAAAAAAATATATAATTATACACAATGTCAGGTCTATTACTGTTCTATGTTATATTACTGAGTATCGATATAGTACTATTAGAAATTTTCAAATTATTGATGCTTTGGGAATTATGAATTCTCAAAGTCTAAATTCACCTTAGAAAGTCATTTTAAAAGGATTTTATCCATGAGATTTATCTGAAGAATCCAATCTTGTTACTTTTGAAGAAGAAGATATAATTCTTACAATAGGTAAATTCTGAATCATTGAATATATAAATAAAAATGATGAAAAAATTACAGTCCTAAAAATAAGTTCAAGATATCTCTATGCATTAAATTTAACATGATATTTATTTATTTTTTTATAAAATAATAATAAAAAAATAATAAAAATTAATATATTGAAATAGTGTTCTAACATATTTTTACTAATTGTTATTAATTAATAATTAATTATTAAGATAATAATGATGAATTTTATATTGTAAAAATAAAATATATTACCTTTATCAATCATTTTAATAATTAGTAAAATATATCAGATCACTATTTGATAAATCATCTCTTAAATATCTATTTATTAAGAAAAATAAATATGTTATAAAAATAACAATTAGATTATTTCACTGTTAATATTTATAAAAAAAAAACAATTAGATTATTTTAAATATTCTCATAAAACTTGACATAAATTTGACTAATATTCTGAAGTTTTCAGTCTTAATAAATATAACTGTGACTATATGAAAACTACCAAGTATTAAAAATGATGATGCTATTATAGTTGCTACACTTTCTGATTATGTAGATTAAGACATATGTATTACTGAAATAAATTGTCACTATTTAGCATCAGCACCACATCTTACTTACCTAACCTCAGCTATAAAAAAAATTCAATTCTTTTTATAAGTGGAGAATTTATTTTACATGATAACAAAAATTATGTTTACATCAACATATGTCTTTTTCAGACTAACAAAAGCTACTATTAAATTTTGTGAACATTTTCTGAAAAATTGAAACATCAGATAAAGCATGTAAATCTGTAAGCATTGCTGAAAAATAGTTGCAAGAGTTGATGCAAGTACTAAAAAAGAAGATTTATCACCTGTGAGCAAAATTTCAACCACCATTAACTTCCTATTGCCAAGAATACTAAAAATAAAAAAATGTCATCTGTAATTAAAAGTACAACTATAATCAAATCCTCAAATGTAACTACTAAACTATATGATCGAACTAGAAGTTATCACAAACTAATGGATCTAGCAAAACAAGTATTGGTTAATTCGAATGAATCAGAAGAGACATCTTTGTATCTACTAATACTCTAACTAAATAGATAGTTATATTTAAAAAATGTACTTTGAACTAAATTACTTAAAAATACATAACCTAACAATTTCTTAGTATAGAGACTAGTAACTTAAAAAACATAGTTTAATTCGAGTTAAGTCTAAATTTTTATATATAAATTGACTATCTATTTTGGGGGGTTTTTATATATATATATGAACATATATCAACAAATTATAATATTTTTTTCATTCAAATATATAAATAAATAATAACAAATATATTTTAAAATAAACATTTTTCTTACTTCATGCTATTGTTATAGTTTTTAATTTTTTATATAATAAATAATACAGATTAGTAATCTTGATTTCTAAACTTTATTTTAAATAATATAAATTATTAAGTAATAAATAATATAAATAAAAATGTTATTTTGCTATTTGAATAAATCCTATTCATTTCTGCTTAAAATCTGAATCAACAAAAAACTTTGCAACATATATTTTTAGCCTTTTGATTGAATATAAATTATATGGATAGTATATAATACTTTAACAAATAATAAATATTAAACTGGTACCTTCAGTTAAACATAATTAATAATTGTATTTATAACCAGTTTTAAAGCAAAGTTTGAAACTCAATTTAAGTACATTTTTTAGTTCAAAGCTTAATATATGAATTAACCAGTTTGACATTCCTAATTTTTTTTTATAAATAATTAATTAATGATGATAATCTAAAATATTATTTATAAATATGATGAATCATAAAATTTATTTTTTATTTTTTTTAAATAATAATAAATAAATAAATAATATTTACTATTTCATAACTATCTATTATAAGAAATGAATTATGTTCTGCATTATGAATTTTAAAGACTATAATCTTCAAACTCTTAAAACTATTACCTCAATTGATATTATATAGATGCATTACTCTCAAATACTTTTAATAATCCATTTATTATATTCTACTCTACTCAGAATTCCTAATATTCATCAATGTTACCAAATCTATCAATTCACTATATATCTCAAATATATCTACTAAGATTATATAAAATATAGTATTAAAGAAGATAAAATTATTATAGTTTGGAACTGCCAGAATTTTTTTTTTACTTCCAGAGCAAAAACCAAAATAAATTGTATTCCTAAAAATTTTTATAAAAATATTTACATTATAATTAATAATTTTAGTCAATTAAAAGTAAAATCATTTATACAATATTTTCATTTAAAATTTGCTAAAAATGTTATTTCTAATAATCATTTAAATTGCTTTCTTACCTTTATTGATAATTTACCTTATAACAAAAATCTTTTATCTGAATTTTTAGTCTATAAATTTATCAATCAAATAATTTTGTATCATTAGATTTATATATATTATTTTCTATTATATAAATTATTAAAATATATTATTAATAAATAAATTTACATATTAGCACTTTACATCATGTGTGCATAATCAAATATAATACAAATATGTTAACAATATCACTACAAATTTAACTGCAATAGTTAACTTATTATATTACAATTAAGATAATAAAACAAAAAGTTACTAATTAGTCTTTTGAAGAAATACTTTTATAAAGAGTTAGTAGTTAGAAAAAGATTCAACTTTAGAATTGAAATAACTCTTTATAAAAGTATTTTTTTAAAAGACTTATTAGTAACTTTATAAAGCTTAGTTTTATATATAATAATACTGATTAATTTTATTTAAAAGTACTTTCTATAAAAAGCTTTATCAACTTAAAAACATCTGTATTTTTAATGCAGTATGTCATGATTTATTAATTCATTAATCAATTATGATTATGAAAAATTAAACTATTTTTTAGTAATTACCAATTATTATTATAATACAATATATAAAAAGTTTCATCTTTACTAACAATACTCAAACATTTACAACAACACATAATAATTCTGTATGCAATCATTAATACTTTTATATTATACAAACATATGCAAATAATATGAATTAGTTATGTAGTTCTATTTAGTTCAAAATAATTTCTTATAAATAAATAATAAATTATCAATTGATGAATAATTCAATAATTATTATATATATATCATTAAAATAAATACCTCTATGACAAATTTTATCGATTAACTTATACAAACAATCTCTCAAACTATATAATTTTAAATCTATTTAAAATGTCATTCTTTGTAAACCAAATTCTTGAAATTGAACTACCTAAATATAGTGAACAAGTACTTGATTTAAATGTATCTAACAGTATTATAGAACAATTGATGAAAATACAAAATGAATCTCAATTAATTACACCACCATATACAGTTTTATCCCAAAAGATTACTTCTTGGTCAATTTCTGCAAAATTACAAGGAATAATAAACCAATTTGAGGATACAATTTTGTATCAATTTCTATATATTCTTTGTTCAATTTGCTCTAAACTCATATATCCTGAAAAGAGTAAATAGATTTCATGAAATCCAAATTTTCAATATCTACTTATTACTATATATCCAACTGAACAGTTAATCACAAATCCTAACCCACCTTAGAATTGAATCACTATATGCTCTTTATGTAAACATAATCAAAATCATAATTACCATCTATACCTATTTCCAATTCTACCAAAATTAATTCAGTAGATAATCTTTGATTATCTGTTATATATTTGGTTATTTATTTTTTTATTATTATATAATATTAAATAAAAAAATAGTAATATATAAGTATATCAATTAGATATAAATATATATATATAATATTTTTAAACTACAGTATTGTTGCTATATACATAATAAAATTTAGTATAATATTAATTTTTAATTTTCTGTTATTAGTTAAATTAAACTATTGTAATTATTAACTACTGAGAAGAATTAAAGAAATTTAGAGAATTGTATTAATTAATAAAGCAGATATATATAGTAAAATTTAGAAAAAAGTTTTAAAAATAAATTGGTCTATATAGATATTGAATATAAATATATTATTGTTAGAGTTAGAAAGTTGTATAATAGATAATTAAGTGTTGTTTTTTTTTAGTAGAGGCAGTAATTCTTTATATTAATTCTTATTTATATTGTTTAATTTTCAAGTTTGTCAAATAGTAAAGTTAAATTAGTTGAGTAAGAAGTTAAATAAAGAGATAAAAAAATTGTTAGTTTTTTAGAATTAGTTAAAGTTGTTTATATTAGTTGAGAGTTATTATATTCTGAATAAGCAGAAATATTATGAAATATATAATAGAATTTAAAAAAGAGTTTTGTAAACTAAAAATTTGAATTATTATATGTAATGAAGCTTTTGAGAGATTTAATGAGTTTAGAATATTGGTAATTTTATTAATAAGAATGTTTTATAGATTGTAAAAGTGAAGTAAGTATTGGAATAAATGTTTAGTATTTTTATATTAATTACAATATAAGCAGTTTGAAATTAAGTAGAATAGAGGATAGTGGATATTTAAATTTAACATTGTTGATAAGTTATTAAGAAGTATTTTATTTCTAATAGAATAAAGCTTTGAATTAGAGTTTTAAAAGTTAATAATTTTAGTAAATAGTAAAAAATTTATAATAGAAAGATTTTATAGTAGTTTAAGTTAAAGAAGACTGTTAAATATTTGAATAGAAAAAAGGTTTTTGCAAAATTTATGAAGTTTGTATATGATTGGTATTTCTTTTTAAGTAAAAAAAGTAGATAAATAAAAATAGTCAAGGTTATATTTTAGTTTAGTTTTTTTAGCACCATGTTTAGCTAAGGTATCAACTATATTATAAAGAGTATTGTTTGAATGTGATTTGACTTAGTTATAATGTAATAATTATTTTTGAGTCTGGTTAAAATATAAATAATATTTCAATTATTTTGTTTAGTTTGAAAGCTATATTTATAAGATATTGAATTTGTAAAAGTTTGTATAATAGATAAACTGTTGGAATAAATATAAATTAGATAATTAGTAGATAAGATAAGAAACAAAAGAATGAGTGCTACTAGTTCTGCTTATATAAAGTTTAGTGTATAGGTTATAGAAACATTAAATTTAATCTATATTATTTTTCAGAATTTAGGTAATGTTAGTAAAGATGTTGTATGTTTAAGAATTAAGTATGAAGGCATCTGTATAAAAATGTAAGTTGATTGAATTGAAGAATAGTAATTTTTTGTAAAAGTTTATAAGTTAGTTTTGGTATATAAAGTCAGATTTTGTGTTTTGTATTAGAAGAATTTCTGAAAATAGTAATAAAAAAGATAGTAAAAATTTTAGAATAGGCTTATATAAATCTGCATAAATATTTTAAAGTACTTGGATTCTTGATTGTTTATATTAAGTTAAATTATTGTTTTCTTTTTTGTTTTTGCACTTTAAATTAATAGTTTGTTTATAATTTATTTAAAACATTGTAGATATAAAAAAATATAAATTGTATTAGTTATTAAGTTAGTAATTAGATATTTTTAGAAAAGTACTTAAGAGTTAGATGTATTAGTTATTTTGCTAATACACCAATCTAAAGATGAAATATAAAGTGATCATTGTTTTTCAGATCAATAAATTAAAATATAATAAGATTTAATATATTTAGAAATAGATTAATAGGTTAAAGTTAAAGGTTGGGCCATATGTGCAAGATAAGGTAATAGAATATTTGGTTTAAGAGTATTTTAAACTATTTTAAAGTAGGATCTTATAGAGATTTGAGAGTTTTGAGATATATGTTTTTCTAAGTAAGAAAAAAAAAATCTTTCTATAAATCCTTTTTATACAAAAATAACTAAAAATCTGTCAGTACTAAAATTATCAATACCTGGTTATTTTATTAAGATAATCAACTTTGGTGTCTTAAGTAAACCTGCTCAGCTCCTAATTTACATATATTCTAAAAGTTTCAAGTCTATAACTTTCGAACTCACAGTTTAACACTGCCAAAATAGCCTTTGGTCTTCACTACTAAACTTTTAATTATTTCTCATAAAGTATTCTATTACCTATTCTATAGTCATAAGAAAAGTTGTAAAGCACTTCTTTCTGATCAAAACATGCCCAAAAAGAAGCTTGTAGCCCTAAAATTGATGGAATTATAATAGAAAACAACTTTAACTCCTCTGTAGTTTCTTTTTCTTTTTTTTTAATTCTTTTGT